GAGGTCGACGAGAAGCTCAAGACCTTGAAAGAGCAGCTGGAGCGTGAGAAGCTGCTGAGTTGCACAGGGAAGTAGGATTGTCGGCGAGAGTGGCGTGCCTGCATGTGCCTGCAGAAAGTGGCCATGAGGCGCTCCAGGCTTGAGAAAGAAGTGGAGGAGAAGCTGCGGCCATCTGCAGCTGCCTTCGAGCGAGATGCGAGGGCAAAGCTCGAGAGGGAGGCGATGACGCTAGAGTGCCACACAAACAAGTTATGATCAGTCACTCTTTGGCCTCCGGAGTTTTCCGGAACTGGAGGCAGAGGATCGTGTCAGAAGCACGCTTCATGAAGTTGAGAAGGCTCTTCAGGACCTCGCAAGGTTGACCCTGAGCGGATCAGAGCATGTGGTGTGACTCAGCTGTTCAAGTCGGGTGGGTTGCAGCAGGAAAAGTTCGAGAAGGAAGTGGAAAGCAAGGCCCTGCGGATGTGAGGCCGTGGCGCGTCCGGCTTTTCGGGACCACACATCGGAAGGTGCGCCTCACGCTTCCCGACGTGGAGCGGCGCCTGCGAGCGGAGCTCGAAGAGCAAGCTCGCTCGCGAGTGTCGGCAGATGGGGGCCGTCTCGCACCTGGGTTGCGAAGTACAGATCGTGCACTTCGTGCATCGGCTGCATGTGGGCACCTGGCGCAGCTCAGCTGTCTTGAGGAGAGGGAGGCGCAGGACTCCTTGCAGAAGGAGGCAGAAGAGAAGACCAGGCAGAGGGCGCTTGCTTGGCTTTGCCTGGTGCGTCCTGCCCCTGTCAGGAGAATGCTCCCGGAGATGGAAAGGGAGGCTCGCGCGAAGCTTGCTAAGCAGGCGAGCCTGGAACTTACTCACAGACTCACAGAGCTGTCGCCTTTAGCCGCTCCTTTAAAGGCGGAGGAAGCGGCCGCCTCTGCGTTGCCGGAGCTGGAGCGGCAGGCTCGAGAGAAGCTGGTGGTCGAGGCGGAGGCCCGGACAGGGGTCGGGGCTGAAAAGGCTTCGTTGCCTATTCCATCCGTCGAGGACAAAGTGAGGGCAACGGCAGCTGCAAGCATCGAGAAGGAGATTCGAGACCGACTCAGGAAGGAAGCCGAGGAGCGAATCAAAGCTGAGCTTCCTGTGCCCTGGATGATCCTGGATGTCTTGAGTTGCAGAGCTGTGATAGGGGTGCCTGAGAGCCAAGGAGATTGAGCGACAAGCCCGCGAACACTTCATGGCTCAGGCTCACAAGTAATACCGATCCGGGAATTGAGAAGATCTGGCTGCCAGTCACAACTGCTGTCGCGTCAGGGCCCGCCACCGCCTGCGCCGATGACTCCGGTTGCCCCGGTCGAGCCTCCTGTCGCCGTGCCTTGCCTCCACTTGGTGCCACACTTCCAAGTTTTCCGAGTCCGCTGCAGACTGACTTGCGTC